GTTTCTGGGCACAGTGAGATGGAATGTGATTCCATTCACTCTGCAATTAACACAGAATTCAAACGTGTGGGGAAAGCTTTGTGGCCTGAAGATTGGAAGCAAATTGCTCGGGGAGCCAGAAGAAAGGGAGACAAACCTTATCTTGTTCATGATTTGGATCAATCGGACATAAAGATTTTAAAAAATTTGTAAGGGATAACTTGACTATTCGGAAAAAGGATGAAAATGGAGACGCTGTTCTTTGGCAAAAGATGTGCTGGCTAAGATTTAGGAAGTCACAGCCGTTTATTATGGAGTTCAAAGAATCATTTTCTGATAAAGATTTTAGACACTTAAATTTAATCAAACGGACACGCACTTCAATTCAATCGCCTTTACAACCTTTGTACCAACAACTGATTCCAATATCTATACAAAAATATAAAGATCTGATATCACTATTTTCGGTGAAACCACCTGCTTTGGGAGATTCCTACAGGCCATTTTACACCAGTCTGCCATACGAGAATAAAGAAGATTCAAGTGAAATAGATGACGGTCAAGACTACGAAGGTAACCCTTAAAGAACTTATCTATTTGTGCTTCTTCAGAAATTACAAATTGTTCCATATCAATATTCATAAAGTAGTTTTTTGTAAATATTTTTTTAAATGTTAGTAGAAACCTACCTAATTTTTATTTTTTATGTGTAACAGTGTATAATTTTAACTTAAGAATTAAAAAATAACTTTAGTTAGTAAAATATAACTAGTAGTTCTTTTTTTAACAAAAACAAGGGCCAATACAAGAAAATATATATTGCAACAAGTACATAACTGGGATTTTGGTATATGCAACAACTAGATAACTGGGACTTTTCAACCTTTTCTCCTGATATTCCTAATCTTGGAAAATATATACATTATTAAACCTCATGGATGGTCAGTAAAGAAGGTAAGAATGGTAAAAACGAAATATGACTTTAATATTTTGTCAATTTTAGGCTAGAGAGGAATTCAAACTTTGCAAAAATCTTTAAATGCGTTTTTCTCAGAAGTGTTATATTTGAGTTACCTAGTTGTAGTATTGAGCCGACGATATGTACCTATATAAAACTACAAAATACTAATTGAAAGAAAAGGATTATTTCATTTATTGCAGACTGCAAAGTTTATGCATTCAGTACCCCTATCCAACTGCACAATAATAATTGAAAGAAAAGGTGCCCCTTTATTGCTTGTTGTACAATTTATCTATACTTATTGCTTGTTGCATCTGTGCATATATTACTACAATTAATTCTGTTTGTATCCACATTCATTGCTACCAACATGAGTAGTTAATTTGCTAACTTCTTTATTTATATGTACCCATATAACATACTAATTAAAGGAAAAGGTGCTACTTTAATTATTGCAGACTGCAAAATTTATACTACTCATATAACAAAATATTACTTAAAAGACACGATTCATTTATTGGGAGTTGCAACTGTACCAGTACACAATATTAATTGAAAAGACAAATGTCCCTGCACCTTGAGACCCATCTGAACAAGTACAAAGTGTTTAAAAAATTAACATGTGTTCTTATAGCAGATAGTGACCAAATTCTTTGTTAAAATACAGTAAATATTAGTAAAAAGAATATAATAAAAAATATTTTTTATGAATGTATTTTTTATACATTAATAATTTTTTGGCTGGGTATTCTTGAAACTTTTATGAAACAGATATGAGGTTTTTCGACAATACTACATTTGTAGTCTAAAATTTATGTAGTAAATTAATACAAATTGTATTAATTGTGATTAAACTTTTTTCTAAATTTCTTTGTAAGATCTGTCTCAAAATTAGTGAGTCTTGAAATTTATGAAATAAATAAATAAATGATTTTATGAATATATATCTAATATAATTTTTAAGTGGTTCAAATCTTATAACAAAATAGTTGCCTGCCTACATGGACTTTAAGGATATGAATGTTATCCGGCTTATCTATAAATTAATTCCAGGGGCTTGGGTTATTTAAGTATTATTTTTGATTCTTTAAGTGGACGGCGTTATGCATAACTCGACCAAGCGCCACTTCTTTAAAATCGAGATTTCAACAGATTTGGGTGACACATAGCTAAAACTATCTTGGAAAAAATTCCTGTTATTGTCATGTTAACGGTCGCTAAAATAAACAAAGTTAAACCAAGCGACATTCTGTCTATGAAGGGTTTTTTGTTTTGCATAACAAGACTATATTCTTAACTGCCATTCTTAGTTTTGCAATAATAGACTAAGCGCCGACTAAGCGTCTTTGGTCTGGTTATGCCAAACTAAGCTATCGGGTTAGAATAACATTAAAATTGTGGAATTATCTTCAAATATGAGCAGGTCAGAGAACAGAAAAAATGGTTGCACTTTGTTTAAACAACAAAGCAGCATCTTTACAGGTAAGAAACTATAGATCAGTTTCTAGGTTAACCTCAAAATTCATTTTAGACTATGTATTATAACAGAATCAGTTTGTTAGAGATTTTGCAAATGTTAATTCTATAATGGATCGGAATATTCTTTATTTCTGTCAGCTACATATGCTGTTTTCTTTTAGGAAAATAAGCAAGATACATATACTGAGGAACTAACCACAACTTCTGTACTAGATACTACACCAACATCCTTAACGGCAGATATTGTTACATTCGCTGCTTTAAATACTAAGGATTTGTGTGAATTGCTACCTGTAAGTTTGAATCGCTATCTCAAGGTACGTTAGGACATTTCTACCACCTCAAAATTATTTTAACACAGATACTTTGTTACCAAATGAACTTCAAGAACATTTTTTAAATAAAAATTTAGTGATGAAAATGTGACTTCCAAGAAATTAATCCTTTGGTCTGACTCATGTGGTGGCCAAAACCGCAACATCAAGATTATATTAATAATGAAAACAGTTTTGGAAAGTCACCCTACTCTTGAACAAATTACATTGAGGTATCTTCTCCCAGGACACAGTTTTCTATCGTAAAACTGATGTTACAAATGGTAAGGTGAGTTGACTCAAAACAAGGGAAATTGACATTCAAAACGAAAAACCTCGTACTATTTTAATGAAAAGTGACTTTAATCAGGATACTTTCATAGAAATAGATATTTCTAAAAAACAAGGGAAAGGAAGACCCATTATTCAATATCTCCGCAATTTTAGTGAACACTTGGTTCAACTCTGGCCACAAGGTAAAACCTATTTCTAAACCAAAATTAGACGATCTAAAATCTTTACTGCAATTTTATACCATTGGATGCAAAACCAGTCTATAGGTCCTTATTTAGTAACAATGATGTGGAAGA